CCCTGGCTCCCGCAGGGCGCGGCGTAGAAAGTCCATACCGCCCGGGAAAAGAAATCGCCGATCTGTGTTGCGCGAAAGCAACTTCGGGACCGGATATCCTGGGCAAAAGTGATATCGGACAACGAACTACGTAGGAATTGGAATTGCAATACCGCATGACAAATCTACTCCTTTCTACTCATCAAGATACTACTTTTGCACGGCTTAGTAATGTGACAGTGACAGCAATAGTTTACTTCGCAGATTTCGGCGTCGCACTGCAAGTAGGCTGCGATGTGGCTCTGCAGCAACTTCTCGTCGCGGGACGCCGCTAGCACGGTGCGTTGTTTGTAGTGCGACAGAAGGTGCTTCCACAGCTATCAAATGCAAAAATGTCTGAGTCTGGAAATCTGTGATGCTAAATTGAGCATGATTGAAGCGCTTGCAATGGCAGCCAGGCATGACAAGTTTTTAGAGGCGCCTGCTGATGCCTACCACGCATCACAAATTGCGTTTTTGCATGACAAAGCAAGCTCCTCTTTTGCTGCTCATGCAACACAGATTTTCCAGGAATGCAAGACACGCATCACAAGTTCAACCACTGTTCCAGACCCAGACATCTTTGCATTTGATAACAGCCGATCGGAAACCAAATCCGCCACCTGCACCCCACCGTGTCCGTCGAAAACGCCGAAAAACATGCCGATGTCCTCCAAAGCCTGGTTCAGGCAGAACCGGTATCAAATGCAAATATGTCTGGGCCTGGAAGCGTCGGGGCTTGTCATGCCCATGTTGCTTCACCCATGAGGTCTGTGATGCTGGTGCTAGCATCACTGATTTTTTGAGAGCTACTTGATGCTGATTACGCATGAGAAATGCCCTCTCCGCGTGCCAAGAACTGACTCCTTTTGCTGCTCATGCAACACAGGTATTTTTAGAATCCGCAGACAGCATTACAAGTTGCATCCTTCCAGACCCAGACATATTTGCATTTGATAACCGGTCCTGCAGGTGCTGCTTCTTCCCGGGCCAGGACTCGCACCAGGACCTCAACTGCAGGGACTCCAGCGTGACGTGCATGCGCAGCCGGCTATCAAACGGAAAAACCCCGAACCCCATACTCAAGCTAGAAATTTCTGATGCTGATTTGTGACCGCGAATCATGCTGCCATGCTAGAAGACAAAAGATGCGGACTGTCGTGCTGGCTGACGTGAGAAGGCCTTTTTGCATGTTCCGCATGACAGGAGGCAACTGGAAGTGGGAAACAGCATCACAATATATGCCTGCAATTAAGGCCGCAACTGCGGCTCTTGCCATTCTAGCAACACAAACTGCTTTGTGTACGGAAATCCAGCATCACAAACTTCCAGTCCGATATGGGGAGGGCGGATTTTTCCTGACGATACCGGTTGTGCTCGATTTTCGCATGGTAGTCCGCGGAGTGCACTATCCTGTGCAAAACGATATCGCACTCGTATTGCAGTCACGCATATACAAATCTTTTTCTCAATGTAGATCCGCATCACAAATTTTATTCCCCATGCTGAGGAAATTTGTAATGCATTAGTATACGAGTAGGATACTTCTGCTGTTCATATGCACCAAGGCTGGTTTATTTGTCTTCGGGTCGATCATCTGGACCTGCAGCGCCACCAGTGATTTATCGTCCTTATTTAAACCAGCTCCTGAAGCCGCGGTGTTACCTCCACTTGCTGTCGAGCTGTCTTTTGCCGCTTGCGTTGTACTCGAGCTATCTTCTCCGATTGTGAAAATAACCTTGATGTTCACCGGCAAGTTGATGGGGCGCTGCGACGTGCTTCCTACAATATTTCTCCGGTGCACGATATCCCAGGAAAAAACTGTTTCACTGTTGACGGTTTTGCTAGATCTGCATCACAAATTTGCTACACATGACACAGAAAATCTGTGATGCGCGTTTTCCAATGGAAAACACGCCTAAAAATCCATTGTGTTGCAGGTGTAGCAAGACAAACGCGTTGGTGTTTCGTTCTCTGCATCACAGGTTCACAGTGAAACAGTTTTTTCTTGCGATACACGAACAGCGTCTGGGTTTGCTGCGACGCCGGGGAGGTGGGGGTGGCGGGGGTCATGGTAGAGTGGGAAATGAAGCCGAATATCGCGGGGAAAAATCCCCCCTCCCCATATCGAAAAGGTATGTCGCAGAAGATTTGCAATGCTGATTTGCGACCACAAATCATGTCTGTCTTGCAAGAAGGCAATTCCACAGGCTTCGCCGTATTATGCAGGCGGTTTGCGATGCTGTTGGGCATACAGCGCAGACGTTTCTCATGCTAAGCGCCTAGGCCAAAACCTCTGTACTCGGGCGTGAGATGTGCCTGCAGTCCTCTCCAGCAAGACAAATCCGATTTGTGTACGCAAATCCAGCATCACAACTTTCCTGTTCGATATGGGGAGAGGGGATTTTTCATTTTGATACCGAACCCCCGGTCTTCGTGCCACTGCAGCACGATCCCCTCTTCATACTTCACGCCGGAGGCTGACGTCGAGGTGGAGGCAGTCGTGGACATGCTGTCGGGTTGGTGTTGGTGGTTGCCGCTTTTGGAGGAGGCCAACATTTGATTGTCGCTTGGCGCACTGGTCGCTAACCCATGCTCGCCGAGGTTATGTTTCGAGGTGTTTTTCGTGACATTGTTATTCCCGCCGTCGTTGTTCTTTTCGCTGTTTCCGGTGTCTTGCCGGCATATTTTTGTAAAGGGATCTGGAATCATCTTGGAGTTGCTGTTGTTATCCTCTGGACCGAAGCTGTTGGACCGCAAATTGCTCCGACTTTGCGCATATCAAATGTAAAAATGTCTGGGTCTGGAAGAATGCAACTTGTGATGCTGAATTTGGATTCCAAAAAAATCTGTATTGCATGAGCAGCAAAGGGAATGCAATTTTTGCTACGCGGAGAGGGCATTTGTCATGCGGAATAGGCATCAAGGAGCTCTCAAAAAGTCTGTGATGCTAGGGCATGCATCACAGACGTCAGGGCTCATGCAAAACGTGCATGACAAGTGTCAGAATCTTCCAGACCCAGACACTTTTACAGTTGATAGCGCACCGCCCCCCGCGGTGGTAGACGAGCTGGCTCCAGCGTGTTGCGAAGTTGAAGTTCCGGTATGGGCACCTAGACCTACTTGTTGGATATTGCTGCTGGTGCTGGCTGCGGCCGACATCACATTTCGTTCGTCGAACGAGTGAAACTCCGCGGTCTTCAGCGCGTTGCGCATCTCTTCCGCTTTCTGCAACTTGATCATTTTCTCGTCGCCCCAGTCTTCCAAATTTTCGTCGGGCCGCAAAATCTTCCACTGCACGGACTTTGTCGCGCTGACCATACCCCCGCCCCCGTGTTTCAAGTGGAGTTTCGCGGTCGCAATTTGCTTGTCGTTGACCGGCTCGAGCTTGAAGTAGAGGTTTTTCGGGATGAAATAGAACAGCTCCGTCTCCTCGTGGTATTGCCACTCCGGCTATCAAATGTAAAAATGTCTGGGTCTGGAAGAGTGGAAGGCTTGTCATGCTTGTCTGGCACGACCGATGCTGCTTGTAATGCATGACCCAGCATCACAGATTTTTGGAAAGCTCCCTGATGCCATTTCCGCATGACAAATGCCCTCCTCGCGTAGCACAAATGTGGTTCCTCTTGCTGGTCATGCAATGCAATTTTTTTTAGAGTCCAAAGATAGCATCACAAGTTCCAACTTTCCAGACCCAGGCACTTTTACATTTGATACCGGCTTTATTCGATTCCGCTCCCGGTCGCGCGTATTCCTGCCGAACCAGGTATTGAGAGGAAAAATCCCCCTCCCCATACTGAAACGGTATACTTTTGGAAATTTGTCATGCTGATTTGTGGCCACAAATCGTGCCTGTCTTGCAAGAAGGCAACTCCACAGGCTCCGCCGCATGATGCAGGTGGTTTGTCATGCTGTTGGGCCTACAGCGCGGATGTTTATCATGCTAAGTGCCTAGGCCAAAACCTCTCTACTCGCGCTTGGTCTGGGCCTGCAGTGCTCTCCAGCAAGACAGCTCGGATTTGTGACCACAAATCAGCATCACAAATTTCCGTTTTGATATGGGGAGGGGGGATTTCTCCTTTTGATACCAGGTCAGCCACCCCTTCTTCTCCTGGTCCTTTTCATACTGCTGTAAATCCGTCGGCGGGGCGCGCGGCGTCCGCGGTGGCGACGGAGAGCGCGACCGGTTGTTGCTCTGCTGTTGCTGGTCTCTGTTATTTCTCTTGTTTTGGTGCCGCCCGCCGCTTCGCGACCGGCTCGTGTCTCGCCTGCGGTCTCGGCCCCGGTTATTTCTTATGAAGTGGAAAATATGCATCGTACTGCTACGTAGAAGTAGTAATTGCATTTACAAATTTGGTCAGCATGACAAATGCAATTTTCCATGCTAAATTGTCTATGCAACCAGCTTTCGCATGCATAAACTGCAATTATTACGAGTTGTTGTGCAAAAATGCTCTTACACGCGATATTTTTCCGGGTTCGGCTGTTGTCGCGGTGTCGTCTGGTTTGTCGTATCATGTGGTGCAAAAACGTCTCCATCGGCCCAGCTTTGTCATGCAAATCCGCAAACGCGCAAGAACATCAGCCAAACCTTGTTGGTTATTTGTGTATGCAAAATTCCCATTATGAGAGTGCTGCACAACTGGTCCCCCCGCCCTCATTTGTAAATGAAAAACAGAAATACCAAATCCATATCTTGCCTTATTTAGGCACTATCTGCATGCCAAATTTTGAAACCTTATCAAACTACAGCACTACCATCCGTGTACAGATTTGTCATGCGGAAGCCACATATCTGCCGTTGCGTGTGTTGCTGTTCATGCCATACGAATGAGGGGGAGGCGGGGGAGTTGTAGTTCACTGTCATAATATTCACCATCGTGAGGACTCTATGGACACGTTTTTACACAGGATATGTCGCTGATTTTGGTCACCGCTTCGCCCTCGACTGTCGCTGCGGCCACGGGCCATCTTCGATGGCTGCGAGATGGTAATCAGGCGGCAGAGAGTTACAATTTTTTGCTGATGTACCAGTTTCTCTTCATTTTCCGTTTCACAAAAGAAACGACCAAGACTGAGTGTAACTATAAAATTTGTTGGTAGTAAACTGAATTTTTCTACTACATTTTGTCAATCTGCTAAATCCGAGCTCTTGTTGATGTTTCGTCTACAGCTTTAGTGATATTATTAGCGAAGTTGTACATTGTGTTTATACAAAAGTGGCTCGAAATTTCAATACTTGATTTGACTACAACTGTGGACAATAACATTCGATCATCAGGTGAACGGGAACTTTTGAAAAGTGCGCCGGCGTTTGTTGTTGAAAGGGTTAGGGTTTGTCCTAGTTCATCGCACCCCTGCTTGCACAAACAATGCGCGGCCGTGTGGTCGGTAAAACTAAAAGTGCATCATGACTAAAACTTCAACACTCCATGCATAAATCGCGCAAGTCAGATCGATAAATGTTCTTGCAGTCCTCGCGAGGATTCCTCGGTAGACAAAAGCACAACAAAGAGGACCCAAAAAAAAATTTTAGTCGCAGTCCGCTCATGATAAATTCAAAGCCATATTTTTTTATAAAAATTCGACTGCAACATGAGTTCCTTATTACAAGTTCGCCAAATGCTGGCTGTAGTACAGATCGCTAGAAGTTCTTGTTTTCGGAAGATCATGGTACTTCTCGCACGCGGGGTGTAGGTGAAGGTGTAGCCTAGTACTTAGAATCAAAAACAGCTGTTTTTTCAATGCAGGTCCTCTACTTACTTACTCGCTCAGACGCAGTAGACGCTTGCAGTTGTCATGCTCCAGATTCTTTTGCGTTCTTTTTCTTTACGAGCTCCTACCGTTCTACAAGTTGCTGATCTGATCATCTTTCGTTTGCTTCGCTTTCTCCTGCCCAGTAGTGCTTCTACTTCTACGTCTTGAAATTCCTATTTCTACACATCTCGACTGCAACTGCAGACGCAACAAGTAGCTAGCGACGCACGACGATAGTCCAATTGCAATAATTCCAGGTCTTGGACTTCTTCGCACGAGCGGATGGTCCTGGTCGTTTTCTAGAAACTGAACGTACTCGGTGGAGCAAGTTGTAGTACCAACGTAGTAGAACACCAGCAGTTCTCCTGCTCGTCATTTCCAGCACAAGTTCGTGCACAGCACGACCAAGCGACACTTGCCACAGTGGTCCCATAAGCAACACTTCAGGTTGTTGAGTGATTCCGATTTGAGCACAGCTTGCTGTGAACATTATCTATGAAGATCTTCGCGGACTACAGGTCGCAATTCAATGAATTTGAAGTAGACACAGCAGCAGCTGCACTAGCGCTTCAATCTTTGCAGGAGATCACCGGGGCAACAAGAATGCTACATTCGCGCAGGTGGTACTAAAGTTGTCGCTTCGACGCGAGTGTTAAAATGGCACCCAGAAGATAGTACGCAGTGTAAACGTCCATCAGTGTAAAACTGAATTTACTCCTCAACAACATCTTCCTGCCCCACCTCCTCATTCAATAATGCCTCTCGCATGACCGCCCGAATTTTCCCACACCCCTCCTGGCCGAGCTCGACAAACTGCCGCAGCAGCTTCTCCTCCCTGACCCGGCCGCAGTGTAGAAGCAGAATTTCGTCTTTCAAATTAGTCGCCACGGTGGTCACGGACTGGTTCCAAGATTCCTCCTCCTCTGTCATATCAACCACGGTGACAAGACCTCCAGTAGTCGTAGCTTTTCCGGCTGCTGCTGCTGCTGCGCATGACAAATTCGAACTTGTACTTGTCGATTGCCCCGGTCTATTTTTGACGAGACTGTCAGAGTTGGAAGTAGAGTTTTCATCTTGGTCCTCTGTCTCTTCCTCCTCCTCCTCCGCATCTTGTACTTCTTGTTCCTCGCTGTCATTCAAGATTGTGTCGTCGTTGAGTTTCCTCCTCTTTGCAGCTGTTGCGGAAGTAGTAGAACTATTCCCCCTGCTAGCACTACTGAGGACTATCCTCTTGTCGCAGAAATCGGTGCGCACCAGTAAATTGTCCCTTTCGGAAACTAATCCCAAATTTACACCAGCGACCAGCTCTTTTATTTCGATCGTCTGCAAGTCCGCGAGCGCCACCGAAGTTGCGTTGATGCACGCGGGGAGCAAACTCCCGTCAAATTCGAAAACGTGCAGGGAAATGTCCAGGTTCAGCAGATTGCTGTTCCCGTTGTTCAGCAGCTGGACCGCATGGGAAGAAGAACCAGCAGTAGACGCGTTACTTCTACTTCCACCGCCCGCCGATATTCCAGCGCCGCCTGCACTTCCTGCTCCGGTAGATGCAGATGCTCCCGCGCAGCTCTTGCTCTCGCCTAGGACACCGACCACCACTTTCGAAAACACCATGGACAGCCATTGCGCATACTCCTGGAACTTGTTCCGCTGTGCGAGTGCTCCTTCGCTTGAGCCTACAGCCGATTTTGTGATTTCGAAATTCAGTTTCAGGGAGCAGTTCGTCGAATTTGTCAAAGAACTCTGCTCATTTGAAGAACCCGATCCTGCTGCGTGCGACGATGAAAGCACCTTGACCGTAGTCGAGCTCGTGTATTTCGCCGGTAAGAGACAGTTCTGCGCGGAGCTTGTACCGTGCGAGGCGAATCTTGATTTCTCCTTTGGCCCAAAACATTTCGCGACAACCAAAGTGCCGCCCAGTTTGTAGGTGCAAGACCCGGTTTTCGACCGGTTGATGATCGGGGGCCGCAACTCGGTTGGGAGCCGGCCATCTTGCCGGAAGAGAAGGTCTTGTCCTCTCGATTGCATTTGTTGTTTCATCATCTCGTTTGACGAAGTCGCTTTTTGCTTAAAGTTTGTACGTTCTTGTATTGTTTCGCATATGTTCATGTCCTTGCAACGAGAAAAAAAAATCGTGTCCCTGCCTAATGCTAATACTCACAGGCTTGTGCTGTTGTCGCGGCTAACGAAGTCATTTAATACAAGGCCGTGTCGTCTTTTTCCTACGAAACTCGCTTCTTCCTGTAATCATGATGCGCAGACTTCAATAGAACATGATAAAAATGAAAATCAGAAGGCAGCTCAACAGGATCCTCGCAGAGGCAGATCTGATCATCTGATTCAAAACTATTATCGCCTGCTTCGACGCTTCGTCTGCCAATGTTGGGATCCTCGATTTCTCTACTTCTTGACAGAATGATCTTCGACTCTGGTCTTTTCTCACGCCAAGCACCTTCTAGAGCACACGACACAATTTTTTTCTTCAATCTTCTACTACAAGATCTGGCTCATTTCGTCGGGGTGATCGTCGTTACAATTTTGACAGATTTTTCTTGTGGGGCTAGTGTTCTGTCCAAGCTTGTTGCACTTACAACTGTAGTCCTGCTATAATTGGGAGCTGTTGCTATCATCTCTGGATCGGTGCACATGCACTACTTCCTTGTTAGATCGCAGATCGCCATTATTTGCATCCATTCCATCACAGGACCACGCACGACCAAGCAGTACAGGAAGAAAAGAACATCTTACCGTGAAAGCGAGCGGTCGTGCGAGAGAACTAAAAAACGTGGGCGGCTGCGGCCAAGGGCAAGGCCATTGTGCAAGCATATTAGCCCCGTTCCTGCCCTGTTCCGTCGATTTTCATCTTCTAGTAGGCTATACTAGCGATAAAACGTTTTTGCATCTTTCGGGCTGTGGCTCGACGTGGTAGTTCTCATTCGCGCAACATCTGTACTACATACAACACCAGCAGAAAAACACCATGCCTGGAAAATTTGCTTCTGATCGCCGTTATCCGTACCAACATCATCGTCATCGATCAGAGGATCGGGTGTATATTGGAGCAGAATGATGTTGTTGTTGATAGGCGTTTAGTACAACGCAGCAGGCGCTTCAGAAGTTGTACTCTATTTGGGAAAAGTAATATTCTATCGTTGTACGGTGCGCGGTTATATTCTTTGTCCAGATGAAAATTCTTAACCCGTTGTAAAGTAAAGTAAAAACGCTCTCTTCCTCTTCCGTGGGTACTAGGGCTACTAATATGTCCTCGTGAAGAGCAGTGGCTGATGAAGAAGCCGTATCAACTGTAAAAATATCTGGGTCAGGAAAATTCTGACACTTGTCATGCACGTTTTGCATGAGCCATGATGTCTGTGATGCATGCCCTAGCATCACAGATTTTTTGAGGGCTTCGCGATGCCTATTCCGCATTAGAAGTACCTTCTCAGCGTAGCAAAAATTGCATTCCCTTTGCTATTCATGCAATACAGATTTTTTTGGAGTCCAAACGCAGCATCACAAGTTGCATTCTTCCAGACCCAGACACTTTTACATTTGATAAGCCGAAAGAAAGCTGCTGGCAACATGATTTATGCTTGCAGTGTTCTTGTACGTAGTACTATTATAGGCAGCAGGGCAAATTAGTACTGAATGAGGATTTTTACCACGTTTAAAATTTTTCTCGGGGTGGAAAACGACGTTAAAGGGCATGAAATTGGTTCCATCGGGTTCGTCAGTGGGGAGAAGTCTTGTAAGTAAGTACTAACTTTTCACATTCACATTGGGGAGAAACAATCAAAGTCTTGGACGAGTTGAGTCGCCAAAAGTTGATCTCTTTGCAGCTGTTTAAAAATGCTTGTTGACGCAATCAAATTGTATGTGAATACGAAAAGTAAAGCCTTACAACCCTCTAAAAGATAAATTTACGAGCGATTCTTAAGTAGTGAATGGGCGGCAACATCAAG